GCGCACGTGGCTGTGCTTGTCCTTGGGCGGGCGCCGTGACCGCGACGGGGCCGCGCTGGGCCCGAGACCGCCCGGGGGTCACCGCACCGGGCCCGGGGGTCACCGCCCCGCCCCGAGGGGCTGCCCCGCACTGGGCAGGCCCGGCGCCCCCAGTTCTCTCCCGCAGGGGAAAAGCCCACCCCACCGTTCTCTCCCCACGAGAAGGGAACCCGCTCCGCCACCCCCCGGGGGAGCAGAGCCCACCGCACCAGTCCCTCCACTCCCCGCCCCGTAGCGGGGGGAATCCTGCAGCACCAGCCCCCAGCTGCCCTCCCACCAGGAGCAGGGACCCCCCCCGGGGAGAGGAACCCACCGCCCAGGCCCACTGGCCCTCCAGGAGGGAATTCTGCCCCACCGACCCCCCACGGGAAAGGAGCCCACCCCCATGCCCCCTTAGGAGGGGGTCCCACCCCACTGAGCCCCCAGGAGGGAGGACTCCCCTGCCCCTGCCGCGGTGAGGAATGCACAAGGCCCAGGCCGAAGGGAGAGCCAGGGGAGTCTTCAACAGTTTATTAGAAAGAATGCAGACATTAAAAAAATCCCAGCTGCTCTGAACATAAATTGAGGTTTCTCAGCCCGGTCGCAGGCCCCACGGTCTGTCACTCGCTGCCAAACCCACAGTGCAAATACGATTTGGTCTAAATGTACAGATTGACAAAGCAAACAATGTACAGCCACTCACCCCGGGCGAGGAGGGGGGAGGTCTGGGGGGGTCACACGGAACCAGGGACAGGCTCCGGCCACCGGCACCGCTCGGGGGCTCGGGGGGGCCCAACACCAAACGAGGAGAAGTTTTAGGTTTTCCTTTTCAATACGAACTTTAGTGGAACAGACCTGAAGACACCACAGAGGGATGTTGCCTCGCCTGCTGAATTTGGGGAGCCAATGACAACAAGTTTTGTTCCCGGTACAAACAGACAATTTCAGGCCGTGGAGGAGGAAGGGGGGGAAAAAATGCTTAACCATTTGGTGTAAATTCAGGGGTTCTCCCATTGTAATTACATCTGCTACGAGGCAAGGAGGCTCTGTAAACTTTATTGCAACTGTTCTGTACGGATTGCCTACACCTCAATTGGGGGTTTTGTTTGTCTTTTTTGGAAGTCTGGAAAACGGTTCATGCATAACGTTATTGCCTCTCGTGGCTTAAGACCGCCCCGTGCCATGGGACACACCTACCATCAGTGAAGCCATTTAAAATGGACTGAAAATGGGTTAAAGGATGCAGGATCTCCCTTTAGGGCTATCAACTCAGGAATTCTTATCTCAATTATGAAATGTTGTGATGAAGTTCTTTCCCCAAAACCCTGAAGACGACAGTTTTCCTTACTCCAGATCCGGCATTTCTAGAGAGAGAGAGAGAGAGAGAGAGAAAAGAGAATTGTTTTAGGGCTGGATTGTGGGGTAATGGTTTTTTTTTGGTTATTTGTTTTTCTAAAAGCTACCAGAGCCCCATTATGTCACAAGGGACACGAGCAAGACGACCTGGCCCTCAACCAAGGAGGGCACGAAGCAGTTTGGGGCCTCTGCCCTCCCTCCTGGCTCTCCCCAAGGGAGATCTGTGCCAGAGCCACCCCGAGCATGTGCTGCTCCTGAAGCTGAAGCCTCCTTGGGGCTGCAGCTGCCTCAGAAGGTCAAAGTGGTATTTGGGGCTTGTGTGGAGAGGCTTTCCCAGATTAGGCTGTCTCCCAGCACTGGCTTCATCTCCTGCCAGGACTCAGTGGGATGGACGGGGGGAACATCTGCCGGCCCTGCCCGAGGCCGGGGCGTTCAGCAGCTGTGTGAGGGGAAAACAACAACTTACTTTCATCATCACTGTCTGGTGAGTCCTGCAAAGGAAAAGAAACAACATTAAGTGGAGCAGATGGCCCTGAAAGGGCCTTTCCTCTAACACCACCCCCCAGGAACGAGCTGCTGCTCCCAAATCCAGCGGCAAGCTGGATCCCCTTTAGGCAGAGCAGGGATTTTGAGGAACTCCGGGTTCCACAGGACTCAGTGAGCTCAGTTTGGCCTCTGCAGAGCCCACAGACCCACGACAACCCCCAGTCACTGCAGAGAGACACAGACTCCAAACTGCATGGTGCCCCCACTGCCCTCAGCACTGCTGAGAGGGAGGGAGGCGACTTCCCCAGGTGACATCACCTGTCCAAAACAAGGTTTGGGGCTATTTAAGCCTTCTGCAGTGCTCAAGAGGGAGCACAAGACTTCTTAAGCAGCCCTGCCCGTGTTTACTCCAACCACATACTCACATCATCTGCCCCATCTACTTCTGGCAAATCTACGTCGTCGTCTCCACCCATGTTGTTCATCATCTGCTCAGAGAGAGAACAGCCATGAGTCGGGGTGAATCCAACCCCATTCTCCTCCCAAAACCAGCCTGAAATGGTTCTAAACCAACAGCCCCCAGCTGCTTTGACAGGACAGCTGCCCCCACGCAGGAATTACAAGGTAAGGATGCAAGAAAAACTGGGATTAATTGCCCTGCAAACCCCGAACTGCAGGAATTCATCACCCCCTACCTCGGAAAAGCGATCGAAATTGGACATGTCTTCATCTGAATCATCTTCCCAGTCTTTCCAGTTGTTGAAGTCCACGCTGAGCCAGTTGAGCTGCACCAACACAAGGAGTTACTTAAGGACAAGGAATCTTTTAAGGACAAGGAAGTACCCGGCTGTCATCAGACCAGGCAGGTTAACGAGAGCTGCTGCCGGATCGGGAGCAGGAAAAGTGACCCAAAACTGCTCCATAATTCAAACATGACCCAAATATGCACAAATTAAAAGCCAGGGGGGGCAGCAGG